TCCCTATATGAATTGTACTCATTACACTTGAAACAGGCTTTCAAATGCCCCTCCACACTGTTAGTCTAGAAAGTGCTTTGTAGATCTAGGATGTAGGGACAGAGCAAAAGACAAGGCATTGAAGTAGGCTAAAGGATGATTAGAGATGGAACATGTATGCTCCACCTCTATAAAATTTATGGAATAAAGAAAGTCTCAACCTTTCATATTTTTCCATCAGGCCTCTTCTGTGGCTTATATATAAATTTCTTACCACAGTCAAAAGATTTCTTGCTGCCTGAGGAGGAGTACACTTCCTAATGATTTTGCTGAGTACATAATTCACATAGAGGATTTGTAATTTTTACCTCAGGAAAGCTCTCAAAGTGTGAACACATTGAAATTTGAACCTAAGTTATTAACATGGTATATTCAAAGTTCTCACTGTTTTCTGCATTTACACTTTCACAGTGTTGAAAAGCTCATTGAGGTTGCACGACATCATATCGAGAGTTCTAGCAAAATCCAATACGAAATTACTTTAGAAGAAACAGATTTCTTCATCAGCAGTGATGTAAAAGTGATTCCTGACCCTGTTCCTTCACCACATGTTCCACTCCTAGAGACCTCAGGAAGTGGTACTCTAACTATTTCACAACTTACTACACTCCATAAGCAGTTTTTACAGGTGGCACCTAAAGGTAAGAAAAATTTTTTGGTTTCACTCCTGAAGGACTGTTAGTTACATACTTAAAATTTAAAGTAACTGCTGGGAACTACTAAACATTAGTTACCTATGTTGTTAAAGATCATACTACAGTTAAAGATCCTGCTACATATGAAACTAAAGTCATAGTGCAGAATATAAAAAATGTGAAATGCCAGACCACTTGAAAGCCTTTAACATCTTTGCTATGGGCTTTATATGTTCAAGACCACATACTTAATATTGCTCTAACAAGTGTCTCTGTAATATGTTTTTAGGAGTGACACATATCATGCTTACTTTGCTTAAAGGTGCAAATCTTTAACTTGTTTACGAATTCATAGTTCAGTGAACACTGTGCCATGTTATTTTAAAACACATTATTATGGAAATTAGTATTTTAATGAAACTATTGTATAGGTACTATTATAACTATTAACCATTATATTCTTCAAGTCAATGTGTGCCATTTGCATTGGGTGATTTGGAAGTGTTAACTCAGATATGTATTTTTTTCCCTTTGTTACGTGCATTTATTGCATGCCTACCCTCTAATTATGGGAAGCTTAGGCTTAGGATTCTTGAAAAGACTTTCTTGCAAAACTTCCTACTGCTTTATAAATGTTACAAAATTGTTTAGGTAAGGCAGTTTTAAACTGAGATGTAAAGCAGTTAAACACATATTTGCAGAGTTTCATTGCTACCAGTGTTCCATATTATAATTATAATTTTAGTATGATTGCCACTAAGATAGCAAAATAAAATGTGTAAACGTGTACTTACAATTTTGGATCCAACTCTTCCAATGTAGTAAAACTACAAAGGGACAATGAAGTTGAATTTAATTCTTTATTCAGAAATGCTTTTCATGTGTATTTATGGAGAAAATCCAACTACCTTTTGAGCATGAACCCACTTTAGGCCGAAAGATGTTTACAGTTTTCCTTTAGAGAAATGCATATCATCTTATCTATACTGTAGGAGCTTGGATGTGTGTGTAAGCATTCCTAACTATTTCTATAGAGATTAATTTAGCAGATAATATTGCATATATAATGCCATGTGAAATTAAAAATCTGTACATTTGTAACCTTTAGATAGTGCCGTAGAGGTGAAACACAGATACCAGTTTGACTGATCATTCCACTTAAAAGGTTTTCTTTTGTTTTTAAATAATTTATTCATTAAGATATTTAAAATTAACAAATTTTGTCTAATACAAACTATTACTATTGACATGTTTAAGACAGAACAACTATTTTCCTTGTACATTTGTAATAATTAACAAGAACACAAATTAAATATTTATCTTTCTACAGCATTGTCCTTTATATAATATATATGATATTCTCTAAAATGACCCAGGATGACTTGTACAGCTCTCCAAAAAAGAGTACCTTGACAGGTACTCATCACCAGACAGTAAGAGAATGCCATTGCGTGTTCTCTGGGACAATGGTAAAGAATTATTGTTTAAAGTAAGGTCACAAAAAACATGCATCAACATTCTTCTACTGTCTGATGATGATTAAGTAAAGATATTTACCTTTTTGAATAGCTGAATTAGGATGGGAACCACAAGCTTGCAAATCATCTTTAAAATATTTCCTCCCATTCTCTTACACACTTTAAGACTGCATAAATCACATCCCAGATTTCCTAAGGCAGTCATTAACCTTCCACAGGAAGAGTTAAATCCTTCCTCTTCTAAAACATCAGGAAAATTTTTCACATCCTTCTGTCTCCCCTTGCTCAGCAGAAAATATATGCCTCCTTAGTAGTTAGTCTCTTACTGAACAGAAGAAGGAAAAACACTAATGCACCCAGCACACTGGAAGCGTTGGACAGTAGCTCTAAAGGAGATACACAACTAACAAACTAATCCCTGACTTGGAGAACCTCTAAGCAGATGTAGATTTGCTGCCAAACATCTTAGTCTTCTAATTCTTACTAACTGGAGCAGTCATCTGAACATTCATAAGAGGAATCCACACAAATGAGCACACAAGGCATAGACTATAGGACAAGTCTAAACAGAATAAAGCTACCAATCTTCTGTACTACTTAGAAAAATTCCTGAAGTTGTTCTGAAAATGGAATATTAGGCTTATTTTCTATAGCATTATAGAGATTACATGAAGAAAAATTTTACCTAGAAATCCAAACAAAACAGAGAGTAGCAAAGGAGAAATTACTGTGCTGGAAGAAATAAACACGTAAACGGTTTTCTCACAGGATATTTGGTAAATATCAAAAGGATGTCTTTTCTAGATATGTTTAACAATTGCCAAAATGAAAGCAAATAGTGGGAGTGCCAATATACGTAAAAATTGTCATATTTACAAAAGAAATCTTATAAAAATTGTAAACAGTTTTGTGTTTCCTAGGAATTTAAAGTAATAAAGAACTGCCAATTCGTCACAGACAACTTTGTTCTATCCTGCACACTTGGTTCTTCATGGAAGCATGTTACTCACCATTCTAAGAACTGATGGACAAAAAATACAGCCTATGCTGGACCTTCCTACCTGTTGATGCAGTCTTTCATTCGATAAGGAAATACTTAAATTATTATTTTTTTATTATTCCAAGTGCCATTGCCCAAACTCAAGCTGGCTCTGCAGTATTTGTTAATTTCACTAACTTCTTTGATCAATTTCATAACATTCAGCTTTAATATATTGCCTCAGGAACATGCTGCTTTTTTATAGGGAGAACTGTGGCAGATCTTAAATGGAGCTACTAACACTCTTTTTCTTTTCTCTTCTACAGTCTCTTTGAATGTGTTCTGTTCTTATCAACAAAAAGATTAGATCTCATTCCCTTTGATTCCCTTTAGTACTATGTTCTTCCTGAATGACCATATCTGTTATCAATTCAATTAGCACACACCTGGAATGTCTCAGTTTTCTTCTAAAGGTGCTTCAGAGAATGCAATTTTGGTACCAAACAGATAAAATAGATTCTATCCCAGACCTCTGTTTTCCATCTTACAACTGAATTACAAAAGGGCATTTTAAATCTTATTCATTTTTTCACAGTCATGATCCTCATGAGCCATTCCAGTTTGAATTACAGAACTGATTATTCATCCTAAGTAAGCTTCAGTCAGGTTTAAAAAACTTCCATATCCAATATCCAAAAAATGTTTAAAATGCTTATTTATAAAACTATAGAATAGTCTGCTAAGATGTGAACCAATAAAACATAGAGGATAACCTATGACCAAATTCTATTTGTATTTCTTTTCAAATTGTAGACTTCTAAATTGAGTTTTACTGTGTTGGTAGATTTGGAACAGATAGGCATATTAAAGTGTCAGCTGAAATTCTACCTTTTTAATAGAATGAGTGGAACATGAGTGGAACAGTCTGAATTATATACTGACCTTGAATAATGTCTATAGATTATGCTCTCTCTTCCCAAGCACTTGTGTAGAAACAATTCAAGAGCTTACAATAATAATCCTCATGATGTGACTTTGATGTGAATAGAGAGTGAAGTCCATACGTGAGCACAGAAATAAGTTCATCATCTCTAACTGGTCTTTTCTAAGACTATACTTCTTTGCAATGTGCTTTTTTCAAAACTTGAAAATAAGAAAGGTTGAGTTTGTAGACAGAAGAGGTATCTTTTACTAGACAAATGATATAGATAGAAAATGCCTAAACTTTTGGGATATAAAGCCAGAGATCCAGAATAGACCTCTCCCTACAGGTAATCAAAAATTTGATAGTTCTAACTTAGTTTCACTTACACTTCGTGTTACTTACTAAATAATGTATGTTATTTAATTTCAGAAAATTTTTAATTTTCAAAAAAATTGTTTGTCTATAGTGTTTAAAAATATGTGTATCCAATTACTTTCAAGAAACATATTTAATATGTTTGTGTATGTTTTTCTGCATTTGAATATATATATACAAGTATTAAGATTTCAGCCAGTGGGACAGGGGAACTCTCCTCTCATTGCATTTGTGCAGCAAGAGGCATACCTTACTCTGTGTGATTCTAAACTTAAAATTCCAATTCTTGCTACTTAATGAAGATTGGGTATATAACATAGCAGAATCAGTAATAATTAGTAAATAAATGTTGTAAATATTTACAGTGAAAATCACTTACAAGGGGTGATGAGTATCTCAGTATCTTGGAGGGAATGAATCATATTTTTAAGACCCCTGTCTTTTCATCTAAGGACAGAAGTATCCCATATTACTAGCTTTTAGACTACTAAAGTTAGATGAATATAATTCAGCCTTAGGGTTTATTTCACTCATTCATCCCTTGTAACATTGCTCCAGATTCTAATGCATAACTCACATAGATCATCATTGAAACTTCTACTTAAAAATTGCTATGGAAACATTTTTCTCAGTGAAAATGGAGGGGAATAGAAATCTGTATAAATGTTATGGCAAAATTTGATGAAAATGGAATAAAATGTTAACATAATTCTCAGCTCTAATATAGATTTACAATCTCTTCATATTTTGTTATCTGTGTAAATTTATAATCTACTGTTACTCCATTTCCTCTATTTAGGGAAATATTTTCATACAGTGTCCATATGAAAACATTCTGCTGACTGGTATATCAGTAAGAAATAGTCTCTTTTGTATATCTCTGCCATACAACTAAGATATGGTGATTACTCTTTATTTCTTATGTCCCTTTAAAATGTCACAGTTCTGGTTCACAGGGTGTACATCCAGTGTACACTTATGATGCTGTCATTCTTAATGCTCCTTTTTGAATGTTTATTTTTCTGTTTTCAGTTTCACTTGTGGTCATAATCTTGATTTCTTCACTATTTAATTTTTATGCATTTTTATTATGTTTTTGTTCTGCTTATTGAAAATATATAAATGCTTGTCAATATCACCTTGTGTATCAGTTAATGATACTCACTTTTTAAAAGATTTTGATGAAAAACAGTTCTACCTTGTGTAGCTTTTTCTACATTACTTTTCCTTTTGACTTCATTGATGACAA